TGTTACAAGAAGAAATTTCAACGACCAATTTTATGAGAAATAAATTTTCTCATAGTAAGATGCAATGATACCCTATGAATAATGGAAAAGAAAAAACAACCATAAGTCGAACAATTAAAAGTATGGGGGTGTTGGACTAAAGTCGTGAATTTTTTTGTTTACCGAAAAAAAGTCGTGATTTCGAAATCTTAAAGGGTTAAAATTTTGACCAAAAACCATTGACTTTGTATTTATTGGATATGCTCTTAATAATAGTGCATATCGATTTTTTTTCGTAAGTCTAAGGTCTCTAACATACATATTAATATGATTATTGAATCAAGGGACATTACGTTACTTAACAAAATATTTTCGTATACAGAGTACGTGAGTCAAGTGTGAATATTGACAAGAATAATAAAAGATATTGGGATGCTATGGTTGACACAAATCTTATAGAGGAGGAGCCTAGACATAATAAAAGGAAAAGAATGACTCATCCTCGGGGCCCAATTTTCTAACATGTATATTAGAAGTTGAGTCTTGAACATTTAAGGAGGCTATGGCATCCCATAAGCACATGATCAGTTATTGACACCTATAGAACCACGCGCTTTGGGCACGCCACTTTTATAATTGTCACAACAAGGAGATTTTCACTTTAGATTACACACATTCACCGCTTATTCACTAGGGCACATTACACCTAGAACTTTCTCAATTCTTCCACCCTGCAAATGTCCACACACGCAACCCTTGATATCAAATCATTGGCACAATGATTCTAGTTTTCCCTATACCAACTGGGAATAGATCCTCTTATGTGGAAAAGTGGTCATGTGATCATGTTATTTAATCACAATCACTCATTGATGATGAGATAAAAGAGAGAAAAATGTATAATTTTTAAATGAGTAGTTGTGATCAAATAACATAACTACATGACCATTTTTCCACAATAGAGGATCTAAATCCATACCAACTATTCCAATCGAAACTCTATAAATGAAAACACCAACCTTCATCAATGAGGTTGGACATTTCTTGTTCAACCAGTCACGAAGATTAAATTCTCCATTATAATCATGGAGGATCAAACAACAATTTTTAACACTTAGAATTTAGATTTTTATTTTACATTTCATTATGACTTGATCATTGTTATATTACCCCTCCCTAACAAGGCTCAGTCATAATTAACCTTAATAGTCATCCTTTGAGCTCCTACCCCATGCCTTGCAGCCTGCCCCAACCGCTTCTCATTTCTTTATCTCTTTTTGGCAACTTTTGTGCACAATATCTCAATCTTGAATCAAGCTCTGTTGGCGTCCATGATAAGAACCCCGAAGAAATCATTTTTACAAATACCTTGTGAGTTCTCTTCGATACATCTCTTATGAGGATTTTCCTTTTGTCAAATAAATTTTGAAGACAATTTTATGTTTTCCTTTATTTTTTATTTCACTTTTAGTTTGTGAGCTTCTTTATTTTTTTTAACTCCATTGGTTTGGATAGTACCACTGGAAGGTCGTGCTGGCTCATTTCATTTGAGAAGAAATTGCTGGCTTCGTCTCACTAGAAATTGTGCTCCTCCATTCTATGTGGATGGTATAATTTATGAAACTAGAAGCAATTCATGGAGAACGTCTTTAAATCGCCGAAAGGGTGTAGCATCTTGTGATTTTTTCACCCTTTTGCCCCTCATTAATTATTTAATAACCATTTTGCCCGTTATTCAGAACTATCTACCAATCTGCCCATCTTTAATCGATTAAATCAAAAATTTAATCGATTAAATGATCAAAATAGACAAAAATCGTTGACTTGAAGATTTAGTCGATTAAATCTCCCTATTTAATCGACTAAATCTCCCATACATAAGGTTGTTCTTCTGATAAAGAGGAAGATTTAATTGATTAAGTTGAAGATTTAATCGATTAAATCTTCATTTGACCATTTAATCGATTAAATTTTTGATTTAATCAATTAAAGAGGAACAGATTGTTATATAGTTTGCAATAAGGGAAAAAATGGTTATTAAATAATTAATGAGAAACAAAAAGGTGAAAAAGCGAGCATCTTGTACTTCCATATGGTGCATTGCATTGATCTTCTTTTTATATACTAAATAGATAAAAAAATATATTAGAAAATTAAAACGTTAAATTCACATGACCTCGTATAAAATAAGAGTTTGATGTTTGTCCTTTTGAAAGACATATAATAATATCATTTTAAATAAGAAAAACAGATGCACATAAAAATCATACGGGAGAAAGTAAGTGATTTTTTTAATTTAAATTTTAAATAAAAAAATACCAGTTCTAATTAAAATGACTATCATTTAAAAAAGGATAAACATTTTTCCCATAAAACAATACCAACCATTTATAAACAAATTAATAATTATGTTTTAGGCTAAAATGAGTCATTAATTTTCATTATAAGATTTCCAAAAAAAATCCGTCTGCATATATTTCAATAAATAGTTTTAAACAACGACGCGTATTGACCAACATGTCTGGGAGAATATTCATAATTTAATTACCCCCTTCGAATTTGAAAGTTTGATGAATATATAATTTTTTCATACAATTTTTATAACATTTCTTTTGTCCACGTATAACAGAAATACCGTTTGTGTAAAATTGAGTATCAGAACTCCATTCACACGGCAAGGTTTTATATATATAATTGTACAACAAAGACCATATAATAGAATGCTAGATTGACTATACTAATTATTATTCATCTTTCGGCATGATAAATAGCACACTTTATGCATGAACGAGCATGTGTATGTGACCATGTCTGCAAACATCACGTGTTTACGCTGCATTTGGAGTCACATGCTTACAACGTCCTCCGAGACCCCACGCTGAGGAATCAAACTGTTTTCTAGGATTGTTGGAGGGAAAATAATTAATAATTTGGTTAAAAATGTAAATGGAAATAAATCTAAATTGACTTGAATCAGATTGATTTTTTTTACTTTTTTATTAAAAATCTTTTAGGAAAAAGTGTGTTCTTTTAAAGGATATAAACCTAAATCTTTTTAAGAGAGAGATAGATACAAAGAAGTGTGGATCGCACTAAAAAAATAAAGACAATAAATAAATATAAAAATATGGGTCTCACATCTTTCTGTCTATCATTCTTTTAAAAGTATTTAAATTTGTGTCCTTTTAAAGGACAGACACTTTTTTTTAATCTTTTAATATATAAATTAATGAAAATATACAAATTTAATTTTGTCAAAGTATATCAAAATAAATCCAAATTAATTTATCAAAATACACTAAATGCAAGTTAAAAAAATTCATCAAAATATAAATTTAAATTAATGATCAATTGCGTAGTCCAAATCCAAAAGAAACTAACTTTGACTTAGAGAATAATAGAAAGTTTATAATAAATATAGGAAATATAAAAAAAATTCTAAAAATTAATTAATAACCAATCTAAATTGAACCGGAATTTCGTTTATATGGGAAAAAATCAAAAATATTTTTTAAGAGCTTCACTCTTATAAGAGTCAAATGGGATCAGTCATGGCCCGTAGCCCATATTCATAGAAGTGATGTTTGAGGTTTGTACTGGTTTCGAATTGAATCAAAATCAGTTATATTTGAATTCTATTTTAAAAAATAATGGGTGTGTTTGATTGTGTTTTAATTTTTTTGTTCTTAAAATTGTTTTATAGAATAGTTTTTAAGAATTGATTTTCAGAATAAAAAAAGAAAAAAATCTGTTTGATAAATTTATTTTGGAAACAATTTTAAAAGTTAAAGAATAAAAAAATCCGCTTGGTAAATTTGTTTCAAAAACATGTTTTTAGAACAAAAAAATAAAAAACACGTTAGATCAATATCCCTTCGATACAAACGCATTTGATCAAACACCGCTACCCCTTCAATACAAAATTATTAATAATAATAATAATCAAAACCACTTATACCCAAACTAAAAATGCACACAAATTTAGGATGAAAACTTGCAAAACAACACCTTAATCAAGCCAAAATATAAACTCACTGTGAGATCTGATAAAAAGAACAACAAAAGGTGCAACTTAAAGAAAATCCAAGTTTAATCAAGCCAAACCACTGACGCACGATGATTCCTTTACACTGTTCAATGATGATCGATGGGGTGCTGCTTGCTAGGTGAGAAAGAAGAATGGGTTTTGAAAAAATTTTAAAGATGCAACGATACCTTTCAGTTTTGTTATTGATAATTACAGAAGTGTTGTTAATGAAAATAAGTTGTTCTCCGTGTTTTGACTATTTTCGAAACAAAAATTGAAAACGAGAACGAAGACCAGTCTGAGTTGTTTTGCATTTTCAATTCTAAAAACAGCTGTTTTCAAAATTAATTTTACAAAACTCTTTCAATCAAACAAGTTTTTTTATTTTTTTATTTTTAAAAACAAAAAATTGTTTTATAAAACACTAATCAAGCAAGCCCAATTCTTTTTCAGAATAAATTTTTTTTTAATAAGATCTGTTTTATAAAAATAATCTTAAAAATCATAACAGATTTTTATTTTTTAAAATTAAATTTTAAAAATATATCTGAGTTGGATAAGTTATCTTTAGTGAGCTCAAAACGACGTCGTTTTGTGGTGAAAATTAAGGTATTTTTGTAATTATAATATATTGCAGAGTTATATTAGTATTTACTCATTATAATTTTTTAATCTTATAACCTCAAAACGACGTCGTTTTGAGCTCATTAAAGATAATTTTATCTCCGGTGATTAGAGAAATATTTTTTCCTATTTTTATTTTATATTTTAACTTTATAAAAATTATAAAAATACATATTTCATTAATTATTTTATAAAATAATTTTAAGAAAAAAAAAATCAAAACACAGTCAAATTTGAACCGGTTCCAATTTTGTTTTGTAAAATAAAATCAGTTCGATTTTTATCGCGAACCGTATTGTGTCCAGCCCTATTACAAGGAACAAGTTGCACTGCAGGCCTGCAGCACGCCTTCGCAACCGTTTCCCTTGTTGTCGTTTAAGAGTGAAGACTCACCGGTGGCGGTGAGTTCCTTCGTTTTTTTTTTTTTTTTTTTTTTTTTTTTTTCTGGTTCAAGAACTTTTACCCTTTCTCTGACTGCAACTGTGACAATGATTGGAAAATTTTCCACCTTGAATAAAAAAGCAAAAACCCATTTGTTTCTGCTAATGAACTAAGTGCTGTTCTTTTGATGGGGTTACAGATGTTCAATCATGTTGAGCAATAATAATAATAATAAGAGCTGCTCATGGCTGTTGCTAGTAGTGAGACACTACTCCAGAATTCGTCCTCCAAGACCTGTTTCTGTTAAACCTGTTATCAGAGTATCCAACAACATTGCACGCTTGGATGCACCCAAAGAAGGACCAAAACCTAGACAGCTACTATCATTGCCTCCTTTCCCTGGTCACCTTTTACCTGCCAAGAACTCAATCAATGCTCATCATGTCACTGCTGTCAATTGGATTAAGAATTACTTCAAGGGCACTTCGGGTTCAGTTATTGAGTCTCATTTCAGGGAGGGTCTTGTAAGTATCTACTACTATATTGTCTTCTTCTTTTTTTAAGTACTTTTGGGTTTAATTGTTTACCTTGCCTTAGATTGGTTGTGTTATTTTAATTGAGACTGTTTCTAGCAGTCAATTGATAAGACTTAAGAGGTTGAATCTCCATGCCCCTGAGGAATGTGGAGGACATGGTAAGAATGAATAGTGAAAGCCAATGAGCTTGTATGTTGTGACCCAATGTCACATAAGGCCTCATAGGATCACCAAGCCACCAAGATATTTGGAAGACTATAAGACTGGCTGAAGCCTAGTGACTATCCAAGCCCAATAAAGCATGAGCATTTAGATTAGGATATTTATCTTATTTTAGTGAGGTTATTTTGTTATCCAGATTAGTTATTTCATGTTTATCTTTGTTATTAGATAGCTTATCTTAGTATCTATTTTAATTATATTATGGTGATTAGATTAGTTATTCCATTTAATATTTGAATTCCCATCAGTTGTTATATATTGCATCAATTAATGAGAAAACGGTATGAGAATTTATACCACAAAACTACTCTCTTTCTGCTCATTCTTCTCACTCCTCTTCCTCCTCCTTAATTACTGTAGCAAATTGCTACACTGGTGCTTTCATTCTATGTCCTCAACCCTCCATGGCAGAAAACACACGTATTCGTGATTTAACCCAACGCCTTGAAACACTAGAACAACAATTCCACGCTGCTGAATTGGCTAGGGAACAACAATACCTTACAATTCAGGAGTCACATATCCAAATACAAGAATCCCAAAACCAGCATCAGGAATCACACAATAATCAACTCACGCTGATCCGACAGGATTTAGCACGTCTAATTGAGGTCCAACAAGGTTCACCTAACTTTTCACACAATGCTAACAGCGGAATACTTGGGGCAGGCCCACGCCATACAGGTGACAACTCAAGGAATAGACCAATCAAATTGGAGTTCCCACGTTTTTCTGATGGTGATCCTTCAGATTGGATTTTTAAGGTCAACCGTTTTTTCCAATACAACAACGTTGCTGCAATTGACCGATTAATGATGGCTTCCTTTCATTTAGACCTCCCTGCATCACGTTGGTTTCAAGGAATGTTCAATGATGGGTTACTTCCAGATTGGGATTCCTTCATCATGGCATTACATCACCGATTTGGGCCATCTGACTTTGATGATTCTGCTGGATCCCTTGTGAAACTACAACAGACAGGATCAGCACTGGCTTATCAATCTGCTTATGAAGCCCTCGTAAGCAAAGTACCAGGTTTATCACCTACGCTCCGTCGTAGTATTTTCATATCTAGCCTTAAACCACACATTAAACGGGCTGTTTTAACTCATCGTCCCCGCGACCACCATGAGGCATTCGGACTAGCTAAACTATACGAAGATCAACATACAGATCTTAAAAATTTCAAACAGTGGTCCCCAAAACCCTATACAGCACCATTAGCCCTTACCCCATCAAAGCCTCAAACACAGCAGCCATCTATCCCTATCAAGCGACTCACACAAGCTGAAATGCAAGAGCGTCATGACAAAAACCTTTGCTATAATTGTGATGAAAAATATGTTTTTGGCCACAAATGCAAAGGGAAAGCCTCATTGTTATACTTGGAGGGCACAGATGAGGATTCATCAGACATACCCACTCCACCAGATCCAGACCCAAATATACTCATGGACCCAATTCCAGAGATTAGTCTCAATGCCTTTTTTGGTCACCACTCTGCCAAATCATTTCGCCTTACAGGCTACATAGAGGGAAAACCAGTACAAGTCTTAATTGATGGTGGCAGTACACATAACTTTATAACAGAACGAATGGCTTCCTTCCTTGCTCTGACAATGCAGACTATCAATCCATTTGTGGTCCAGGTTGGCAATGGAGAGAATCTTGAGTGCAAAGCAGTATGCTATGGAGTCCCTCTGTCCTTACAGACTCACAATTTTGCGATGGACCTGTTTTTACTTGATCTAAAAGGAGCAGACATCGTTCTTGGGGTACAATGGTTGGCCACACTAGGACCAGTGATAACTGATTATGCCCACATGACAATGTCCTTCGGTCCTCCAGATGCCGCAATTCCAATTCAGGGAGACTGGCAACCACAACTTAGCACGGTAACTTCTTCCCAACTCAATAGAATGGTTAAAGTTAACTCAGTTTCTGCTTATTTTATGTGTTTGGCAGTCAACAACACACCCAATAATACAACAGACAATCATCCAATTCCAGAAATTCAGCAGTTACTTTACCAATTTCCAGACATTTTCTCAACCCCATCATCCCTTCCACCAAATCGACCCACCAATCACCACATTCCACTTTTACCCAACTCCAAACCAGTACAGGTTAAACCCTACAGATACCCACAATTTCAAAAAAATGAAATTGGAAAGATGGTGAGAGAGTTACTTGCATCGGGGTTCATTCGCACTAGCCAATCTGCATATAGCTCACCGGTGTTGCTGATTAAAAAGAAAGATCGGACATGGCGATTTTGTGTAGATTATCGCACACTCAATTCAATCACAGTCCGTGACCACTTCCCAATGCCTACAGTAGACGAACTTTTGGATGAATTACACGGAGCAACTGTCTTTTCTAAACTTGATCTCAGATCCGGGTTTCATCAAATCCGCATGAACCCCGCTGATATTCACAAGACAGCCTTTCGTACGCACCAAGGGCATTATGAGTTTTTGGTTATGCCATTTGGATTGTCCAACGCCCCTTCCACATTCCAAGCCACAATGAACGAAGTTTTTGCTGATTATCTCCGACGCTTCGTTGTTATATTTTTTGATGATATATTGGTCTATAGCCCCTCTATGACGGCACACTTGGACCATCTGCATCGCGTCTTCTCCACACTGCGCACTCATTCTCTTTATGCCAAACGTTCTAAGTGCTGCTTTGCGACAACTTCAATTCATTTCTTGGGTCATATTGTATCAGCAGCAGGAGTTTCCCCAGATCCATCCAAAGTAGAGGCAGTTAAGAATTGGCCAACCCCAACGTCCATCACCCAAGTTAGAGCCTTCCTTGGATTATCTGGATATTACAGAAAATTCATTCACCACTATGCAAGACTAGCAGCACCTATGACCGATTTGTTATCTCAAAAGGAATTCACGTGGACAGACACAGCACAAGACGCCTTTGCAAGCCTAAAAGATAAACTAACAACGACTCCAATACTTGCTATCCCAGATTTTTCCAAACCCTTTGAAATCAAGACAGACGCATTTGGCGTTGGCATTGGTGCAGTACTGATGCAAGAAGGCAAACCAATGGCTTACTACAGTCAAAAATTATCAAAACGCATGCAAGCTCAATCTACATATGTCCGCGAGATGTATGCGATCACCAGCAGTGTCGCTAAATGGCGTCAATATCTTTTGGGGTCTCCATTCATTATTAGAACAAACCATAAAAGCTTGCACCACCTGATGACTCAAGTAATACAAACCCCAGAACAACAGCAGTTCTTACCCAAACTTCTGGGATATGCATACTCAATTAAGTTCAAATCAGGCAAATCTAATACAGTAGCCGATGCCCTTTCTCGGCAACTGCCTGGGGAGAAGGAGCCTACAGTCCCTCTCATGGCAGCCCTATCAGGGCCTTCATCAACTTATATGAGTGTTATACAAAATGAATTACAGCATGACCAGTATGCTATGGGTATTATGGGGGAGTTACAGTCATCCAAAGAACAAAAAGGGGACTGGAATGAAAAAAATGGTTTACTTTTTCATAAAAAAAGACTATACATCCCTACTAAATCCTCCATGATTATCCCTCTGCTCCAAGAGTTCCATTCTTCTCCTGTAGGTGGACACGCCGGAGTACATCGCACCTTGGCTCGTTTATCCCGATTTTACACCTGGAAAACCATGCGCATGGATGTTATTGAATTCATCAAGACCTGTGATATCTGTCAAAGAACTAAACCGCCAAACCACTTACCTTTGGGTCTGTTACAACCACTATCGCCACCAGATAAAATTTGGGCTGATCTGACAATGGACTTCGTAACACACCTTCCACCTTCCAAAGGATACACAATGATATATGTTGTGGTAGATAGGCTCACCAAAGGAGCACACTTTGTGCCGCTACCACCCAAGTTCACGGCATCTAAGGTCGCTTCGGCATTTTGGGACAGCGTTGGTAAACTTCATGGTCCACCTAAATCCATCATCTCGGACAGAGACCCGCTATTCCTCAGCACATTTTGGAGGACACTATTTCGTCTCCATGGCACCACTCTCAGTTGTAGTTCATCCTATCATCCTGAAACAGATGGACAAACAGAACGCGTCAACAGAACCCTTGAACAGTACCTTCGTTCATTTGTGTTCGACAACCCAAAAGATTGGGTCAAGTTCTTACCTTGGGCAAAATACCATTATAACACAGCGTTCCACCGCTCCATTGGCACCTCCCCATTTGAAGCTACATTCGGTCGTCCTCCCCTTGTCTTTTACAGTATTCCATGGGTCTCACCACGGTAGAGGCAGTCGACACTGAGCTATCCAAGCGCACCATCATCCTACAAGAACTAAAGGAAAATTTAAAGAAAGCTCAAGCAGTAATGAAGACACAAGCTGACAAAAAAAGGAAAAATTATACCTTTGAACCAGGCGACCGGGTCCTACTCTACCTCCGTCCATACCGCCAACTATAACTAGCTCGCAGATCATCCAACAAATTGGCGCCCCGTTTCTTTGGACCGTATGAGGTGTTGGAAAAGGTGGGTAATGTATCCTATCGCCTTCGTCTGCCTCCTGAGGCCAAGATCCATCCGGTATTCCATATCTCATTACTCTGTCCCTTCCATATATCCGGAAAATATACTATTCACAACCTTCCCACCAATGATGAGTCCAACCACCCCAAGCACACTCCGGTCACTATTGTCTCTAGTCGCTCTGTTCTTCGTCGTGGCCGCACTATCCCTCAGGTACTGGTACAGTGGTCTGACCTTCCCCCGGAAGACGCTACTTGGGAAGATGAAGTGTGCGTGGACATCGCTCAAGAGACGCGAGGAAACTGTGCGCTAACAGATTACCCACCACAACAATACGTATCCGCGATGGCAGCTCATGCTAACAAGGAACATTCAAGGGACAACTTGATCAGTCATGGAACTTTGGCAGCTGATGGCATTACACTCTCAGACATTATCGAAGAAAATGAAGCGTCTTTAGAAAAGGGAGACGTTGATATACCAATACAAGTTTGTGGGGAAATAGAAATGGAAGAGCAAATAACAAAAGACAAAGTGCACACATCGGATTCTGTAATAGGACATGAGGAAACGCAAGTGGTTGCCAACCCATGTGAACGTTCAACTCAATTAATTTCTCTGACCAAACCGTGTATTGGGACGTGCACAACAACTCCACGGACTGCAAGTTCACGTGCAGTGGATAGTGAACACAATATTTTTATTAATTCACCTGCACCATCATCCAATCAAAGTCATTTTCTCCCACCAACTCCTTTAATGCAACCTGACACATTGGATACCTATCAGCATGTTCCATCCAACGACAATAATGATGACCATTTGGATTATTCAAATTCAAAGCTTGTGGACAAGTCTTTGCTTGATGGGCCGGCGAATGTTGTGACCCAATGTCACATAAGGCCTCATAGGATCACCAAGCCACCAAGATATTTGGAAGACTATAAGACTGGCTGAAGCCTAGTGACTATCCAAGCCCAATAAAGCATGAGCATTTAGATTAGGATATTTATCTTATTTTAGTGAGGTTATCTTGTTATCCAGATTAGTTATTTCATGTTTATCTTTGTTATTAGATAGCTTATCTTAGTATCTATTTTAATTATATTAGGATTGTCTAGTGATTAGATTAGTTATTCCATTTAATATTTGAATTCCCATCAGTTGTTATATATTGCATCAATTAATGAGAAAATGGTATGAGAATTTATACCACAAAACTACTCTCTTTCTGCTCATTCTTCTCACTCCTCTTCCTCCTCCTTAATTACTGTAGCAAACTGCTACATTGTAGTTCAATTGGCACTTGCTCAAGTCTTTCAGGACTAGAGTGTGATGATAATATTGTAGGCTCAATTCTCTACATGGACACATATTCGCCCCCTACCTAGGTGCTTATACCTCCAATATAAGCCAAAAAACAAAGAACTAGTACACGAAGGGCTCGTTTGGTGCATATGATAGGATAAGGACGGATAAGATAAGTGGATTGGATAATGGTGGGATATGATATGAGTCTAATAAGCTCATATCTTATCCTGTGTTTGATGTGCACCAGATAAAAATCCTGATAGGATAATAGTATCCTATCATGTGTTTGGTGTGAATCAAATTACATCAAGATATGTTTTAAATAGACAAAAATATCCTCAATAATATATTTTTATATAATTTTTTATTTGATTTTAAAAATTAATTTTTAATTTATTTACACATTAATTCCTATTTTAATTTATTTAAGAAAAAGAAATAAGCATGCTCTTAGAGATTATTTGTCCTGTTTGCCGAGATTTCAATGTCGCCGCCGTGACGACGGTGAATGCACACATCGACAGTTGCCTCGCGCAAGCCGTCAGGGACAAACGACGTCAGATGAGGAGGACCTGACCTAATTCCCCCACAAGCTTTCAGAACTCGAGGGAACGTGAACAAGTAAGGTTCAACACCCTCTTCCACCATATGGAAGTATAGTACAATGGCGTCATCATAGTCACCCACTTGGGCATATCCTGATATTAAGATAATTGAATTTCAGGGAAATGCAGATATATCCTTGTTAGCCATTTGATCGAACAGGTCGTGGGGCCTCATCAAGAAACCCACACGATGCATACAACCTGAGAAGCTTGGAGGTGATGCCAACATTTCTATGCAAAAGGGTTCTTGGTTGAGACGGTGAACTCGGATACCGTAATGAAAGGCTTGCAAACGGTAGCACGTTTCTAACAAAGACCCTCGTTTCTAAATCCACCTTGAACTAAAACCCTCATTTTCCGTCATCACAGATAAGCTGTCTCTCTTGCCCTTGGTCGCAGGAGTGGCATCGCCGGTGTGGACTTCGCTCATGGTCAAGGTGGGGTTGGCCAGACCGGCAGTGGCAAGGTTATCGGTGATACATTGGTAAAGTGAGAGAGGGGGAAAAGGAGAAGAGGATGGAGAGGGTTAGGATGGAATAAAATAATTTTTTTTTTTTCTTTATCCTATCCTCTTGGATTGTAACCCAAGGGTCCCCTTAGGATAATAACTTATCAAGCTCTGAATAGGATAAAATGAGCCAACCTGATAACTTTATCCTATCCTATAGGCTCACCAAACAGCTGATGAAAAGAGGATAGGATAAACTATTCTATAATATCTTCCTTATTGTAGGCTCAATTCTCTACATGGACACATATTCGCCTCCTACCTAGGTGCTTACACCTCCAATATAAGCCAAAAAACAAAGAACTAGTACATGAAGTTTTTGTTTCCTATAAATTATTGTGCTTGAACTTGTCCTTCTTGTACTAGTAAATTAACTTAAAACTTTTTGTGGTTCACGACTTTCTGTTCATATTCAAGTTGTGTTTTAACTTAAGGGCTTGGTTCTTTCCAAATTCCAATTAATGTAATTCCTTTCACATTATCTTTTGAGAAGCTCAGAGAATTTACTTAAATGGGATGGTCCTGGAGGCACTTAGAAGAACTCATTTGCCAAGGAAATTCATTTAATTATATAGATGATTTTTTTGAATATTCTCTTGGCATACTACTATACGAGGGAAATGCTCATAAAGTTCTAATTACTTCAGCCTTCTGGTGTTGGAACAAGATAGTAGGATCTACATTATGTGTCAGATAATATTTATATCATGGTTAATGGTCAGATATAGTTATATTAATTGAAAAGTGTACGTACAGGCTTCATTGATAATTTCCTATTCCAGGTCCAAATGGAGGACCTATTTTCTGATGATTCTTTCACTCAGAAGGAAGAGCTGCTGAAACCTATGCGGAAGGTATTCATGTTTACATGTACCCTGTTAATTTGCCGTTTTCTATACAAGCTTTGCTTTGAATATTTTACTTTTTGTCTGTGTGAGTTTAACAATAAGTTTTAGTCAATTGCTTATTATTTGTTTTAGATTTAATAATACTACAACTATACAGCTTAACTACAGATTAAACCTAATGAAGTGATGAAACATGGGGCAAGAGTTCATGTCCCTGTATCAATTGCTGAGACTAGGATTTCCAAAAGATATGATGCAATTCCAAGTGGAACACTATATCCAAATGCTGACGAAATTAAGTATCTGCAAAGGCTTGTGATTTACAAGGCATGTCTTTCATCTAATGCCAAATTTATTTTATTTCACAGTTTTATGTTACTATTCTTATTGTTCAGTTGTGCGGCAATTTTGTTATTTATTGCATATTGTGTTCAATGTATTGATTTCAGGACTCGGCTATTATAGTGCTGAATAAACCTCCAAAATTGCCGGTTAAGGTTAATATCTATTCTTTCACATGTTCAGAAATTCACCTAGTTTTAGTTTATTCTGGGATTTTGATTTCTTGCTGATGACCTTGTTAGGGGAATCTGCCAGTTCATAATAGCATGGATGCATTGGCAGCTGCAGCACTGTCCTATGATTATGATGAGGGTCCTAAACTGGTAAGCTACTCTTCTTGTACATACAATGAAACATTTTGGTTTGCACTTGACAGTAAATGAATCTCCAAGCAAAAAACGGATATCTGTTCACAAATCTTATTAAAATCCATGGTCACTCTGAAAGGTTAGGTCAATTTCATAGCTCCTTGTCCTAGTCTCTCATTTGAAAAAAGGCATTGAGGCCTGCACATTCTGTTATCTTGTAGGAAGCTGGATGGCTTATGTTACTCTTCCCAAAAATTGGCATAAGATTCGATGGAGAGGACAGACAAGGGCAAAGCAATTAGACTAGATAAATTACCTATTGAAGTTTGAAAGTGTTTGGTGGACAAAGATATAACTTGGCTCACAAAGATGTTTAATGAGATATAAGAAAATGATAGATGAATGGAGGAGAAGCAATTTGATTCCTATTTATAAGAACAAGTGAGATAAACAAATGCGTGCTAACTACATATGGCTTAAGCTCATGAGTCATGCTATGAGACCACGTGAAAGAGTAATTGAACAGAGATTAATGTAGCCAAAGTGCCAAACATAATGGAATTGTTTGATTCATATAGCCTACCCCACCTAGTAGGAAAAGGCTTTTGTTGTTATTGTGATAATTAGTGTATAAATCCAATCTTACATGTCGAGACGAAAAATTCTTGAAATTAATAAACTCAACATATCTGAAACCTCTTTTTGAATTTAATATATTAGTGGAATAAACTAGCATACCCCCATTCGGTAGTACTGCAGGATGCCACCTTTGCCATCATCTATATGTGAGCAGTGTGTCAGCTAAAGTTACATTAATAGTTAGAGTTCCTAGTGTTATATGGCGAGAAACTGAGAGAAAGTGAAAGAAAATGATATAGAGAGTAGAGAGAAACAAGCTGTATTCTCTGAGAAACTGAGTTTTCTATTCTTCAATTGACACTTGTTTTGAGCTCTACAATACATAGAGTCTGGTAAGACAGTTGGTGGGTGAAATCCATAGGGGGAGAGGTTGGTAGCAAACTGAAAATGCTGTTGAAACTGATAATTATGCTCCTGAGGAGGAGAAGTGAGATAGTTCTAACTCGATGAAGCAGGGTCATGGAGCGATCTGGATTATTTGTCGAAGGGTGAGCTGGTTATGAGGAAGATGAAACACTATGATTGGAGGCAACTGGTTTGGGATCCAAAGGCTTTAAAGAAACATTTACTAAGAATGCATCTGAGAGTTTTTGGTTGTGTTTCTCCCCACCAGCATCATGAGGGAGCAGCAAAAACTCGATTTTGCTTACAATGTAGGGATCAAGGTAACTATTGTTGGAGACGACATAGGTTTCGTATTCCTCCGGTAAACCCTCCAAGATCACATCCAAATCTTCTTGTGGAGTAACCGAAAAAGGAATGAAGATTAGGGAATCAATTATGCCTTGATCCACGGAAGTATTCGGAGATGGATTTTGCGCCTTTCTTCATGTTGCAGAATTCAGATCTGAACTGCCTTATTTTAGCTTGAGTCTGAGAGTTGAAGTAACTAAGGATTTCATCCTACAGTTGCATTGAATGAATTCAACCTACTACTAGAGTAAGCAACGATTCTTTTAGGGGGGGAAGGAGCCATGAAAGGAGGAGCTGATCCTGTTGTTCCTAATGTATGTAGTTGTCACTGGTTTTTCCACTGTCTCAATCATCCTTGGTGAGAAACCGGTTCAGAATCTCTAGATTGACCACAAAATGATGAAGTCTGTGCCCATTGATGACTGCCTCTATTGTTTTGATATGAGAAATTATTATCATCTAATTTATTGGAAACTGAGTGAGAAAATGTTACTGGAGCTGAGGTAGGGATTGAAGCATAAACCAAGGGGGTGGGACGGTGAGTGTTCCCTGAGTTTTGGAAAGGGTTGGATAAGCAAACTCTAAATACCGTGTTATAAGGTGAGAAACTGAAAGGAGATGAAAGAAAAGGAGAGATAGAGAGCAGAGAGAAACAGAACTCTACAATTGACTTTTGTTTTGAACTCTACTAGAGTATGTTAAGACAGTTGATGTCTCAACTGACAGTACAACAGATTCTGTTACAAACAGTGCTCTACTGAACTGACTACAGCAACCAACGGTGTCGTAAAGTACGCTTGTAACACTTGTTGTATATCTCTAACAGCTTGCATGAGTGTGTAATGTAATCCTACTTATGGTCTTGATCCCATCAGAAGTCTAACGATATGTCATATGTGTACCTCTACTTTCCAGCATCTAAAAGGCTATAGAACCTTGATCAACCATGTTTCTTCTGTTTATTGTGAATTCATGTTTGTGAAGGTGATGGTTTTGACTTGGCTTCAAAATAACGTGATAACTGGAGCTAAATAGGGAAGAAACATTATTTTTTTCTAGTCAAAAGTGTTGATTGCTTCTTGATAGCTAGGGTTTGAGCTGTTCTCTTTTCTCTATTTATCTCTCTCTTGCCGGAATATGGGGTGATTTGGTTTATTATGGTGATTTAGAGTCATAAGGATTTCAATCTTAAAGGATTGAAGAAAACTAAAGAATTGATAAAAAAGAGAATATTTATTATCGAACCAATCCGTTAAAAAAACAATGAACAATTTTTTATGTATCAAACCAAAGGCCTTTCATTAATTCATAAGAGTAAGCACCAAATTTATTGAGTGATTGGCCTGTGCCTCAGATGAATCAGTTTCTGTAAATACTTAGTTTTTTTATTAACTTTTAATGCTTCAAAAATCGGAATGATTTCAGTTAGTTTAGAATTATAACCTTCATTTCTTTTTCATTTTTATTTCTCTATTTTCAATTCACTGTGAGTAAAATAAAAAAAAGGTAGATGTTTCAGTTTTAGCTTTGGAATTAGTAGGAATTTAATGATAATTGTATGATATTGTAATTTTCTGGAGACTAGGAGTGTTAAAATTACGTTGATATTGATAGCAAGGGGGGAGATCCGATTGGATCCTATCCAAATTTTTCGCTAAATTTAATTATTTCATGCACTAATCAAAGACTTTTAAAATTTGAAGTTTGATTGCTTAATATTTCTTATTTGAACTGATTTTTTTCCATCATAACATGTTGAATCACGAATGACATAATTATTCTTTAACTCTGCTTTGCTTTCCTAATCTTACTTGGACTCTGAAACTGTTTTATAGGAATTGTTGATGCTTATTGAAAATACAAGACAAGTTAATTAATGTTGTTGGTTTTTTCAGGTCCACCGTCTTGACAGAGAGAGCAGTGGCATCCTTTTACTGGGGAGAACAAATGATAGTGTATCTCACCTTCAATGGTTGTTCAGTAACATAAACAATTCAAAATCTTCTAGTAAGGTATCTAAATGAAGCAATGAACTTCTATTTTCTGTACCTAGTGTTTAGTTAGTGAATACTAACTCCATCAACAACTTAATACTTCCGTTTGAACTTTAACATTCATTGGGCTATTTTAGGCTTGGAATGATGCATGTGAAGCTACATATCAGAGGTATTGGGCATTAGTCATCGGAACTCCTAATGAGAAGGAAGGCATAATTCATGCTCCCCTTTCAAAGGTTTATGCTCTTTTGCATTTTTAGTTTCTTCTCTATGTGTGTGCTTCCAATGATATCATATTTAATGTGATTGCTATCTTCCAGTGTTTTAATTGATTGTTTGTGCCTTCCTATTTCAGGTTCTTCTGAATGATGGGAAGACCGAGAGGGTAATACTAGCTCACCATTCAAGTATAGAGCCTCGCCAAGAGGCCGTAACTGAGTATCGGGTGCTTGGCCCAAAGATAAATGGATGCTCATGGGTTGAGCTGCGTCCACTTACTTACCGGAAGCATCAGGTATCTTGGATGCAGCTGTGTATTCTCTATTCAACTGAAATCTGCTGGTAGAGAGGGAGTGAGAGACAGAGAGATAAAGAAGAGAATAGGCATGATATGTTCATATCTATTAGAATATATTTAAGATACCTTTAGATTATCTTAGAATATATTTAGAATACGTTGTGGAATTGCCAATGTGGGTTTGGCTAATCTAGTCGACCTTCAGTTCCCAGAAAGCCAGAACTTGATTTGATTCTGTTGGGGTTCCATTTGCAAGGTATGAGACTTGGAGTTCCACATTGGTTGTATGGGCAACTAATGTGGAGTTTATAAGGCCTTGGGCACTCCCATCCTTTGAGCTAGTTTTTGGAGTGGTGCATTCCAAGGTCTCATCAAATGGTATTAGAGTATCCATCACGTGGAGTTGTGCGTGAGGGCACGCACTAGGGAAGCGTGGTGGAATGTTGGGGTTCCATTTGCAAGGTATGGGACTTGGAGTCCCACATTGGTTGTATGAGCAACTAATGTGGGGTTTATAAGGCCTTGGGCACTCTCACCCTTTGAGCTAGCTTTTGGGGTGGTGCATCCCAAGGTCTCATCGGATTCCAAGGCAATCAATTAGTAGGGGATATATAATCCTGCTATAAATTCTCGCTGAGATTAATGGTCTTTCTCGGCAAGCATGAGATGAGACTTTCCCTAATCTAAACTTTCATCCATGAAAAGAAAAAGAAGAATATTTTGTGGAATCAATTCTCTAATTTAGGAAGCAATTCATGAATAATTTTCGATTTTGTTATATTTCCTGATTTGTTTCCTTAGTGGGCCTGGGCTTGCACCTATTTATTAGTATAAATAGGAGTAGTAGGTTATGGTATTGTAACATATTACATTCTATCAATTATAATTATTTACTATATACCCTCGATCTCTTCTTGCTTTTACTGCCAACCCCAATTTGTTTGGGATATAAATAATATTGATGATGATGTTTATGATATTTAGCCATCTCTCTCTCTCTCTCTTGTTCTTCATCCGAAAGCTAAAAGTCTTGATATCTAAAAGATGCCTAATTTCCTCCTTTATCCTTTCCTTCGTCTTTCATTAAAGATGAACTGATTCCTGTTCCTACTTTCTGGTAAAAGATTAGATTTTATCAGATATACTTCAATATGATTTGTTGGATTTGGTTCTGGAGGCCATGACTGATATGTTTTTTATTTATATTTACATGTAACATGGGAATATATTATCGTTGTTATAAATTCATATCAACTTGTACCATATGGCATTATGATTATTCAGATTAGCCTCCAGTTAATTGCATGTTCCTTATTATATGTACTATGAGAAAAAAAATCCAAGGGACTTTATAATTGTCAAATGCTATAATTCACCTGGCACAGGACAATTGGGATTGAAATATTTGGCATGATTCAGGCTTTTTATATTACTTATATTCTTCTCAGTTATCTGTTAAGTGGATGCTGATTTCTTTACCTGGGTAAAAAATGAAGTCTCAGCTCTCAAGCGATTATGTATTGGTTTGATGTGATTTCTGTTCCCTTTTTCAGTTGCGTGTTCATTGTGCTGAAGCACTTGGCACACCAATAGTGGGTGACTATAAGTATGGCTGGTTTGTGCACAGCCGATGGAAACAAATGCCACGTGTCGATATTGAGCCAACAACTGGAAAACCATACAAGTTGCGGAGACCAGAAGGCCTAGATGTTCAGAAAGGAAGCGTTTTATCCAAAGTCCCTCTGTTGCATCTTCACTGCAGAGAACTTGTGCTCCCCAACATTGCCAAGTTTCTGCATGTTCTGAAAAAGAGTTCACAAGAACCGCACCCATCACTTAGCGAGCAGCCTGATATTCTTCGCTTTGTGGCAACAATGCCTTCACATATGAGAATTAGTTGGAATCTCATGTCATCATATTTAGTCTGAGAAAATTGCAAGATGGATTTGGTTTACTAACTCACGGAAAAAGAAATAGATGTCAACTAGTATTTAAAAGTTTAGGCAGGTATGTTCTGGGATTCAAGGTTTCTAATATTACAGTATGATAGGTGTATGTGTAGTTTCAATGTAGCATTAATATATGATTGAAGCTGCTCTGATTTGTCAAAATTTTCACCTTTTTGACGTGGATTGAAGATATCTGCTTTTGGGAATTTCCTATGTATTCAATGTTATTTATTTGTCCATCTTCTAGACTTTAAGCGGCAACATCTGACATATTACTCTAACATTATACCTATGGATTATGGTTTTGACGTATAAAGAGGCGACTTTACCCCCTTCAAAGTTATGATGCATTTACCTAGGCTCTAAAGAGCCCTTGCTTTTTCCAGCGATTGATTTTAGGGCCATGTTTTCTCTTGCAGATCCATCACCTACCTGACTCAAGCAGTTGATTGGTGGAAACCATTTCACTACAACAAATTGGCTCGTTTGTTAGAAATTTTCCCACGAATCATAATGGCCTCTGTAAAAAGAGCAAATACAAAATAAAAACCAATAAAATTGCAGCCACATTCTAAAGACTCATTTTGACCATTTATAACAAACTGGTACATCTTTCAGCTTTTTCAGAGAAGATTAGCCATTATTTTGTCCTATACAAAGGGCTCAAGAGGGTTACTCTTTTAAGCTTGTTTAATTTGTCATACTGAGTTTCTCTTCTTAACTTGTCGAAGGAGTCTTCTGAGTTTCTTAGTTTACTAATAGAGTCGTATGACCTTATGGACAAATCTTCTGAGTTTCTCTTCTTAACTACATGGCTTTAGTCTTCTAAGCTTCTTCTTTAGAGTGGTCTTCTTTGTTTCTCATGCTTTCTGATATTTTTTGAAGCAGTATTTGCAAATCTTTTCTCATGTGAATTTTGTTCTCATAACTTGTTTCTTTGTAATATTCTTAGAAACTCATACAAAGTTTAGATAAATTTATCATGATACTCACGCTATTAAATTTGGGATATGTTATTCTGCTTACTCTTATTTTACCTACATTTGTCTAGCTCTTTCAACATCATTAGATTACAATCTCATCCAACGATAAAGATTTACGGTTTAAAATCAACCCTTTTATCCCTTCCTCTCTCCCACTGCCTCTCGCCCTTTCTCTCTCCTCCCTGTTCTCTCTTCCTCGACCGCAACAATCATGGAAATGGATCCTCTCATGTGTAATTTAACATGATCATCTTATGTGGGAGGATCTTAATCATTAATAATTAAATCAACGGTGATGATTGTGTAACTTCTTATACTTATATTTTTTCTCTCTCCTCCCTTATCATCATTAACTCACCCGTGTATGGTTATGATTATCCCACATGACATTGTCATGTTAATTAGCACATGAGAGGATCCACTCCCCAGCAATCATCCTTCTTTTTTCTTTTTTTGAAATTTGCAATCATCCTTCTTGAAACACTTGTAATTGACAGATTCAAAATCAAAAGGAAACACGATAAATTAGATTGGGGGTATGAATGACTAAGAATGGTTTGGAACCTCAAATCTGGATTTGGTCATCCTTTTTTTTTTTGGGATAAATTGGACGATCCTGGTTCATAAATGAAACATTTCAATATATATTTATTCGTAATTGTTAAGTTCTATTAATTCATACCTCACAAAAAGCAATGATATGGGATGAAGCCATGAATCTGACCCTTATTTTGTATATAACATAATATTTTATAAAAATTCAATTAGCAACAGATTGTCAATTACAAGTAAAGGGTGATTGGATTAGCGAAGCTTGACGCCCTTTAGAATTGCTTTGGTGTATAGAAACTGCAAGATCGTTTCAGTATTCTGATGCCGCAGCGAGGAAGAAAAAAAAGGGGAGGAAAGAGAAAGGGTGAGGGGCAGTGGAGAGAGGAATGGGTAAAAGGATTGATTTTATATCGTAAATCTCTATCATTGGATGAGATTGTAATCTAACGGTGTTGAGAGGGGTAGACAAAGGTAGGCAAAATAAGAGTAGGGAGAATAACTTGTTTACCACTCTCCAATACCGTTAGATCAGAATCTAAAGAGGAGAGAGAAAGATAAATGTTAATTAAGATTCTGATCTATCGGTGTTGGAGAGTGGTAGGCAAAAATATCTTAATTAACATTTATCTTTCTCTTTCCTCTTTAGATTCTGATCTAACGGTATTGGAAAGTGGTAGACAAAGGTAAACAACAAAAAAGTAGATAGAATAGCATATCCCTTTTTTAATTATTTAAAGAGAAAAATATTCCTACAGTTACTGCAGATAAGTTATCTGCATTTATTTTCAAAATGACATTGTTTTGGAATTGAAAAATTAAAAAATTATAATTATAAAGACTATAATAACCCTGAAATAAATTAAAATTATAAAAATATCATGATTTTCGCCCCAAAACGACATCGTATTGAGCTTACTGCAGATAACTTATCTGCAGTAACTGCAGAAAAAGAGAACCCTTATTTAAATAGGGGATATGTTATTCTACCTACCATTTTTTCTGCCTACCTTTGCCTACCACTCTAAGACATCATTAGATCAGAATCTTATCTAACATTTATCTGTCTCTCTCTTCTTGAGATTCTGATCTAACGGTATTGGAGGGTGGTAGAAAAGGTAGACAAAAAAAATGATAGGTAAATTACCTATCCTTTTAAATAGATATTTGAGTTTTTGCGGAAATCTTAAGCCCCTAAAACAATCTTTTCATTTTTAAGTAAAACAAGAAAAAGCGGTTCCTTCGGCGTCCACATTTTATCTATTAATCAATTTCTCAAGCACGGGGTATTCAAAAGCCCAATAAGCGCAAGGCCCACCTATAATGCTCATCAAGCCCAATAAGGTTTGGGCCTATTCGCCCACTCGATCCCAAATGCTTCTCGAGTCGAGTGTCATTGGGAGCTTCACTTGTCTGGTTCTCCCAAATCACAATCTCCTGAAAACAAGGAACGCAGTTTTGTTATTTTTGTACATTCCGTGGACCAATACCATAGTCATAGTACGATGATGATGTGTCTTTCACTTCCGCACCACCTTAAAATGGATCCAACCGGTGGTTTTTTCTGTTGGACAAGACCACAGACAGAGAGACACACAAGTAGTTGATTCTGATTTAGGTAACAGCCACTTCGGTTCGCTGATTTTCTCCATTACTATTGGTGACAATCTTTGTTATATGTTCGACCATTTTATTCTTATTTTACTATCGTATGCTTAATTCAAAATATACAAATGTACGAACTTTTGTTTGTGTCTTGAATGTTTGTAATTCAATTCCAGTTAGTATGTTACTATATATATATATATACACGTTGGAAAATAGACGTGTAATTTACTTGTCAAATGCCATTATACGAACTGATGGAAAAGCCATCTCCACCTAACTCTGCAAAATCGTGCAATATAAGTCTCATCAAAATGGATCAAATATTTGATGTTAAATTAAGGAACCGAAACATCCATCCTTAGCCTGTGATCCTTACTTAGGCTTCCATTCGAATTCAAGCATTACTAACTTGCAAGACAAAGCAAAAAGTACAGAGACAGGAGAAGGAAAAATAAAAATCCTTTTGTTTTCTTTTTGGTATTGTTGTTATTTGAAAGGGTCGTTAATGATAATTGGTTATAATATTCATTTGATCCCGAAGTTTGGATAATAAAGGGTGAGTGTGAAGGAAATTTGCTGGTTACCCCCACTCCACACTTTTCCGTAGCCTTCACTTGCAAATTTGCTATGTGAGTGTGTATATAATGAAGAAATTCTCTGCCAGGTACTTCACAAGCAGAGTCTCCAAGTTTCACTCCCACTGGAAGCACAAACACTCTCAGCCTCAGGTACCTTACCCTGATGGGTTATTTCTTTTCTCTTTTAAAATGTTTTTACACTAAATTTAGTCATAATTCTTTAGTGATGTATAGATCATGCGTTTGGTATTTTTCAGACACGTGCTTTAGCACCCCTAATTTAGCTCATTTTAACTTTCACAAAGAGATTCACATCTTATGATGCACAATTTGGTGGCCTCATAATGTATGGAGTCTGATATCAAGCCTCTCAGAAATCCTTTTCAATCTTCATTGCAGATTTTAATTTTTGGTCTGGATTGTATCTAAGGTTACTGCTACTTACTTTTGTTGAGTTTCTTGTGTTAGATTTAACAATATGTATAAATTATGCCAAGTATAATTGGTTAGATGCAAGTTAACAGAAACCAATGCTGCAACCAATTAAGATGGTAGAAGTAGTATATAGTAAATGAGACATTAGTTTAAGCGATCCTTATGTTAAAAAAAATTAGGACTGTTGAATTCTCGCCTCCTCCTCCTCCTGCGCTGTTTGTGGAAAATCAGAATTGGGGGAGTTATTACCAATATGTTGAACATACATTCAAAGAAAACATCAAGCTGTATCAACCTGGCACGGAATTTCTTCTTCGTATTTAGCTCTGATTGTTTTCTTTGACAGATCATGGCGGAAAACATCTCTGGTTCAAGTGGGAGCAAGGCTACTAATATTTTACTTAATCATGACTTCTCTGGTGGGCTGAACTCTTGGCATCTCAATTACTGCAATGGCTATGTTATTTCAGCTGAAGAAGGTACTCAAAGAGGAATTTCAATGGAGTCAAATGGCAATTATGCTGTTATCACAAACCGAAAGGAATGCTGGCAAGGTCTCGAGCAAGATATCACAGACAGAATTTCCACTAGTTCCACTTACATGGTTTCAGCTTTTGTTGGAGTATCTGGGCTTTCTCAGGGATCTACTGATGTTCTAGCTACTTTGAAACTAGAATATCATGATTCTGCTACTAGTTACTTGTTCATTGGAAGGTATATAATATTAGTTTCATTGTATCTTTTTCCTTGTTTTAAACAAATTGAGGAAGATGCTCTTACATGTTTACCATTATTTTCAACAGAACTTCTGTTATAAAGGGTAACTGGGAAAAGTTGGAAGGGACATTTTCATTGTCAACTATGCCTGATCGGGTTGTATTTTATTTGGAAGGACCTGCTCCTGGAGTTGACCTGCTTATTCGATCAGTAGAGGTCATCTGTTCCAGTCCAAATAATAATGTATATCATGTAATTATGTATTTTAAATATTGTTATTTCTTTGTCCAATTCTACAAATTGGCAAAGTCTAATATTGTTTATTGAACATCAAGCTCATACTTGTGCATTGGTTATTGCTTCTTCAATGGGTAGATTGAAGTTACAATAAATCTGTGTTAGTTTCATTCTTTAATTGTCTTGTAAAATCTGTATTTTTTTAACACACTAATTCATGATACCTTGTCCTCTTGTTTCAAAAGACCACAAGCACAGGATGTGCTTCCATTGGAGATGACAACATCATAATTAACCCCCAATTTGAGGATGGCCTGAATAATTGGTCTGGTAGAGGCTGCAAGATTATGTTGCATGATTCCATGGGAGATGGAAAAATTGTTCCGAAGTCTGGAAAATTCTTTGCATCTGCAACAGAACGTACACAAAGCTGGAATGGAATTCAACAGGAGATCACTGGACGTGTGCAGCGCAAGCTGGCCTATGAGGTCACTGCTTTAGTTCGAATATTTGGGAATAATGTCACTACTGCTGATGTACGTGCTACTTTGTGGGTCCAAACACCAGATCTTCGAGAGCAGTATATAGGCATTGCAAAGTTAGTCTCTCTCTTATTTTCTATTACTGTATTTCCAATAGACTCTTTGAGGCACATGACTTTCCTGTTTATTATTCTTGAATCTTGATTGATGGAACAAAATGAAACTTGCTATGTAGTATTATTCAACCATGAACTTTAAGCATTAGTGATATTAGAAACTCTTTTAACATTTCTTTTAATTGCTGAACAAAGTTGGTGTGTTCTGAAGGGTGCAGGCAACAGATAAAGATTGGGTTACAATGCAGGGAAAATTCCTTCTAAATGGTTCCCCATCAAAAGTGGTCATTTATTTAGAGGGTCCCTCTCCAGGCACTGACATTCTTGTCAATACTTTGGTCGTAAAGCATGCAGCGAAAACACCTCCTTCAACACCACCGGATGTAAAGGTTGGACTTTTAGAACCTTTTTTTTTTCCTTTGTAAATTACTTTAATAATGTTAATGTTTGTGATATCCTGAATTTTTGTTTTTCACAAGCATTGTTTAAGAGCTAAATTGTTACCTTAATGTACTTTGGTTCTACTACCAATTCTGTATGTTTCAAGCACCAAACAATTGATTTTGTTTTGCAGAATGTTGCTTTTGGGGTTAATATAATTGAGAATAGCAATCTGGCTGCTGACACCAAAGGATGGTTTTCCCTTGGTAATTGCACATTAAGCGTTAGAACTGGTTCACCTCATATAATTCCACCAATGGCAAGAGATTCTCTTGGGCCTTATGAACTCCTAAGCGGGCGCTACATCCTTGTAACCAATCGAACACAAACATGGATGGGCCCTGCTCAGACGATCACTGAGAAATTGAAACTCTTTTTGACTTATCAGGTATCTGCTTGGGTTCGGATTGGTTCAGGATCAACTGGGCCACAGAATGTGAATGTTGCCCTTGGTGTTGACAACCAGTGGGTCAATGGAGGACAAGCTGAGGTTTCTGATGACAGATGGCATGAAATTGGTGGATCCTTTAGAATTGAAAAGCAGCCATCAAAGGTTATGGTTTATGTCCAAGGTCCTGCTTCTGGTTTGGACTTAATGGTTGCTGGACTTCAAATTTTTCCTGTTGATAGAAATGAAAGATTTAAATATTTAAAGCGGCAGACAGACAAGGTGACATCTAGTTTTCTTCAGTATCATATTATAATTAATGAAACAGCATGCCTTCTGAAACACATGGAAAGTTCCCAAAATGTCTTGCACTTAAACTGGTTTGAATGAGTAACATTTGGGTAACCCCCTGGCCCATCCCCCCAACACCAAAGGGTAAAAGAGAAAAAAAAATGTAGAAAGAACAATTAATATGCCGACTTTAGAACATAACTGATAAGATTTCCAATGGTTAAAATGATTAGGATGCAATGCATGGTACCAGATTATAAATCACTTCCTATGAAACCCCGACTAGCAAGAGTAGTAATGAAGGAAATTCTTATGTGCAGACTTACCTTTGCACTTTTGCAAAGAGACTGTTTCTCTGGATTCAAAATCCCGGCATGGTCTCAGAATATAGATTAAAAATCTTACCATTATCATGTCCAATAGATTGAAGTATGATACATGTCTACCTCCTTCCTATTTTATATGTCCTATATGATCTTCCAGTTAACTTATTTCATGAATTGTCCTGTCTCTAGCATCTGCAAAAGATCACTAGAAAGCATAATTTTTCTTATGAACAAAAAATCTTCCATAGCAGAAAAAAAAAGTTAAATGAAGCTATGTGTTTTCATACTGTAATGCCTATTCTTTTTTGTATACCCATTCTTCATTGATAGGATGTGTAATGCTTTGCATTATTTATATATTTTTTAATTTATTTCCACTTGCTGCACTGTAGATCCGTAAGCGTGATGTTGTCCTGAAATTCTCTGGGCTGGACTCTAGCAGCTACCTTAACACCTCGGTGCAAGTTAGACAAATACAGAACGATTTCCCTATTGGATCATGTATCAGTAGAACAAACATTGACAATGAAGATTTTGTTAACTTCATTGTGAAACATTTTAACTGGGCTGTATTTGGAAACGAGTTAAAGTGGTATTGGACTGAGCCACAACAAGGGAATTTCAATTACAAAGATGCTGATGATCTGCTAAACTTGTGTGCCAAGAACAAGATAGAAACTCGTGGTCATTGTATCTTCTGGGAAGTGGATGGAACAGTTCAGCAATGGATTAAATCACTGAATAAAAATGATCTGATGACGGCTGTCCAAAACCGCTTAACCGGCCTGCTGAATCGCTACAAGGGAAAGTTCAGACACTATGATGTCAACAATGAAATGCTGCATGGTTCATTTTACCAAGATAGACTAGGTAAGGATATCAGGGCAAACATGTTCAAGACTGCAAACCAACTAGATCAATCTGCTACACTTTTTGTGAATGATTATCATGTTGAAGATGGATGTGACACAAGATCATGTCCTGAAAAATACATTCAACACATTCTTGATTTGCAAGAGCAAGGTGCCCCAGTTGGAGGAATTGGAATTCAAGGTCACATAGACAGTCCAGTGGGGCCTATTGTTTGTTCTGCCCTTGATAAATTGGGTATTCTTGGTCTACCTATATGGTTTACTGAGCTTGATGTGTCTTCCATCAATGAATATGTGAGAGCAGATGATCTTGAAGTTATGCTGCGTGAAGCTTTGGCTCACCCTGCTGTAGAAGGCATAATGCTGTGGGGATTTTGGGAGTTGTTTATGAGCAGGGACAATTCACACTTGGTGAATGCAGAAGGTGACATCAATGAAGCTGGGAAAAGATTCCTAGCTCTAAAACAAGAGTGGCTGTCTCATAGCCATGGTCATGTTGATGAGCAAGGTCAATTCAACCTCAGAGGCTTTCATGGAACATACAACGTGGAAGTTGTCACCCCATCCAAGAAAGTTTCTAAAACATTTGTACTTGACAAAGGTGACTCGCCACTGGTTTTATCCATCGATTTATAAGCATCTTTCTTTATGGGGTGTCATTTTATTATATCCTTGGGTTTGCTGAAATACAAAGGTGATGATGTATAGTGTTGTTATCTTTACTGGGCTCTGCCTTTCTGGCAAATAAATAAAATCAGTTGTTGGCTCATTCTGATATTTTATTAGTTGCTTTTAATTTCAAAGTTTATACTCTCAAGATTAACCAGACAGGGAAAAAGGAAATATATAAGGGTGTTTTAACCAAAAACAAAAATATGAAAGATAGGCTATTTGCACTCTAAATTGCTTCTTTTTTTTTTCGGCCATAATTATTTCTTTGAAGTTAGCCGGTCCCTGGGTATCCTCACAGGTTTTAACTCTTTGAGTTGGCTTAGTCAATTAAAATTCATCGCCTCTCAAAGACGTATTCAGTGGAAATCGAATTCAGGTTCTCTCTCCTCCTATTTAGTCTGTATTACCAATTGAGTTATACACATTGGGTTGCTTATTTATTTTTTTTGGATTGCTCCACTGGTTTCCGGGGCGAAGTCCAATCCAACCCGGGTAGGTTACCTAGCATTGGCAGGTGAGTCTCCTAGCGAGGATTTTCTGCATACACAAGGTCTCAAACTCGAGTCCTTGCTTAAGCGAACCCAAGTACCTTACCACTTGAGCCAACTCCCGTTGGTATTTATTTTTATATCTAATAACTTTTAGTTTTGACTTTCTAATTTACCTTTGATTAAGGGATCTATTTTTATTAGGAATTCTAACCTATATTTTAAGCTCATAATCTAATTATATTCTCTCTCCTAGTAATTATGGTGACATCTTAAGTTGCGTTTGATCGATTTTGATTATTTTAGAGAAATAAGTACTCTTTTATTATTAAAAAAAAAACACTCTTAATAAATTTTTAATTATAAGTTAATTTAACTATAAAATAAACTAGTGTAAACACACATTTCTATTTTTGAACAGATTTATTTTAATTATAATAATTTTTATAAAATAAATTACTGAGAGTTGGAGTAATTTTATGTTCGGAGACACTATTGACAGCATAAGCCAAGAATGAACAGCTAAATGCTATAAGCCTACTGGTAGCTGTTTTCCAATTTTCTGTTGTAATACCAATGATTGAATAGCATGCAATGCCTAAAAACAACACAAAACATGATAAAATATTTTTGATTTGTGTAGAAAAATGTGAAATTATAATTATTTATTAAAAAATTAACCGTTATAATCGTAATAAAATAGACACACGTGTATTAAAAATTATGAAATTGTTAAAAAAAAATTATATATGGTTATAAAACTACATTTTTTTTTTTTTAAATGCATCTCTCAATTTAAAAAATTCAAATTTTAATAAATCATTCAGAATCAATATAATTTTAGAATTACTGAAGGATATTTCAAAATGTTAAATTAATAACGATTAAAATTTGTAAATAGAAATGGAAATGGTAATGGGGTGCGAAATCAGCAATACCAGCAATAGCGTTTTAAGATCAGTGATGAGCAATGAACAAGAACACTGCTTATGTTATTACAAAAAAAAAAAAAAAAAGAACACTGCTTATGCTGGACCATAGAAGTGGGCTAATATCGTACAACTATGTTACCCGTACATAAAAAATGCTCGCTCCATTTTCAACAAAGTTGCAATTTGAAAGCATGTACACATGTTCATAAATCAACACATTGGACCAAGATTCTCCACATCGTTGAATTGTACATGAAGCCCAAAGAAAAGTATTCTGCCATAATAAATACTCTCCAAATCCATCAATGTTCTAGTAAATTATTTTGGGAATATTACTCTCATGTAAATTATCAACCCAATGGATGGACCAACATGATACGCCCACACAATAAAAATTTTAGTTATACATTTTTATAGTTCTCATATAATTTTGTAATCTATAAATATTTATTCTCACTGTTTGCTTGATATTTTTAACGTAGAAATTAGATTTATAATGATATATGTTAGATGATAATATAAAAATATTGTGTCTCAGTTATAAATCAAAATTACTTTATTTATAATATTGATATTTTTATGTGTGAATATTGTCCTCATACCAAGTGAAGAAGAGAGAAATTAAGCACATTGTCCCCCCCACGTATGGTGGTGTAAAATAATTCTGGCTGGCCAATTTTAGCTTATGGACATATTTCTAAATTTGTCACACTCTTACTCTATGTAAGCATGAAGGATAAGGATAAGCAATACGTAAGCAAAAGTTTTGGGTAGTCAATTATTTTATTTTATTTTTGGTATCCTGGGTAGTCAATTATTTAATATATGATTATGTTGCGTGAGAGCAGCGACGGACCTGTTCAATTGTCAATATGGGCAAGTGCAAATATAAATTTGAAGATACATTTTTTTTAGTAAAGAAGAGATATATTTTTTAATTAATTAAAAATATAAGGAGTTATTTTAGTAGATGTACAAGAAGAAACACTGCTTATGTTTTGGTGTTTTTATATCATTCAGTTGATTACTATTTTTTTTATGTTAAATTAAAATTTTCTTTTCTTTTCTTGTTTGGGGATTATATCCCTTATGTTATATAAACTAAATTTTTTATCATGTTAAGAAAAAAACAAATTAATATTAAAGAAATTGATATGGCACATTATTCAATAAATTGGTCTTATTTTTTCTTAACATGACAAAAAATTTGGTTTACGTAACATGAGGATATAAACCCTTCTTGTTTATATTCTTTTATTTTTTAATGTATTTAAAACTTTGTTTTAAAAAAAAAAATTGGGGGGCAACACACCACTAAATGTGCAGACATAAATAAAATTTCTTGAATCCGCTATTGCGTGAGAGGATTATATAATCATGCATGATCAAATCAACGATGATAATTTTATCACTCTCTATCTCAACATTTTCTGCTCTCATCTCTCATCAATGTTAATTTCTTCATGATTAGTTGTGATGCTCTCACATGACATGATCCACTTGTATTCAATAGCTAAAAAAAACTAATAAATTAGAGCCTTTAGATCAACAACTATAATTCAGAATATAACTTATACAACTGTAAAATGATCATATCTCATTTTAAAGTTGAATTCTCGAGACTATAGTGTGAAGAGTGAAAAGGCGTTGCCTTATCAAAGGTCGGCAAGCATGATGTAAAAACAAAATTCATGACATACACAACGGAAAGAACTTGCCTTTACATCATACATATGCATCGTTCTCAAAATAAAATTGAGGAGGATGATTAAAACTATACATTTGGCACTTCAATCACTTAGTTAGGTTTGCACAAGAATAAGGTTGAATCTCTCCAACATGCTTTAACGGTGATCCATGCATACTTTCCCTGCAACAACTATGACGAACTCTTCACTTGTAGGGTTGAAATCTCTCCAAGCCCCTCTAACGGTAATCTACACTATCTCCGTAATGGCAATGAAGAAGTCTTCTTCTTCTTGACTCCCTCCAACCTTGAGTGCTTGCTAGGCTATAGAACAAGGTAGGAGCTCAAGTATGTTTGGGTTGAGAAACAGAGCATGGAGAAGGAGGCGCAACAAACAATAAGAGAGGTTGGGAGGCTCAACAACATTTAGCAATTAGGGTTTCTATAGAAACCTTGTGCGCCTCATATACCTAGGGTTTGGGTGAATCATCATTCACTTAACCCTAGCTTAAGTGACTGTGCAATTGGATAAGACCATGACAGAGCCCAACTAATTGTCTCACATTCTCATTAACCAAAATGGATCAAGCTTGAGCCTAATTAGTTCATACTAATCAACCTTTTTTCTAATTAAATGAGAATGGGCCAAGTCTAAGCATCCATTTAATATAATTGGATCATATCCAAAAATGCCAAGTCACATATGATGGCCCAAGTGTAGGCTTAGCCCACTGGCTCACACGCTTGACCCATCAGATCCATGGGTCAGCCCGTCAGGCCAATGGGCTTTCAAGACTAAGGCCAAAATTCAAAATGCTCTATATCAATTTTATCTCATATGTCAATTAAGGCCCGAATTCATGTTAGGTATTGTCATTAATATTGAGGTGGTATTGGAGTGTTACCTATTAGACCCAATCAATCACTTACAAAGTCAAGCTTGTGCCTTCCTAAACTCTTTATCAAGCCCAACTTGTCTAATGACCACTCAAAGTACTAGCAATGCTTTGTGGCCTTAAAACTAATTGAGTTGATCAAGTGATCTATCTTGCTAATTTAGTTACCGTGATGATCCATCCTTTCATCTCATTCATCCACCTTTCAGTCAAGAGCAAAGAAGTAATACCAACTCTTTGGTGACTAAAAGTAGTTTTTTTCTAGGATAGGGAGTCTTCCTCTATAAACTCTAGATAGATCCATCAATCCTTCATGATCTCTCACTATGCATAGATTCTCGAGTTATATGGAAGTCATTCAAGTCCCACTGATCTTGTGGATAACTAATCCCTTATAGGGGAAGATGAATTATTTCGGCTTGTTTATCTATACTCGTGTACTCAGATTGTACTTGTAACTATACAATGTTCTCCTTATTTCTCAGACGGATAGAGTTGTACCACAAAGTATGACCCTCAGACATAGTGTATGATGACAACCTCAAGTCTGAGGATAATCTGCACTACTAAATAATGTGAGACATTACATATCTAGTGATGCATCTTTAAATTTTTATATGAAATCTCTCAGCGAGTCAGTTCAGTGGGACTTGTTCTACTATGAATCCACCCATAACATAAGTTAAGATGTCTCATGCCTACACTCATGAGGTATATACCTTACATCTCCATATAATTAACCCAGTGCCATGCTAGTCTAATTGATACGACCATTGCCATTTATTAGTGACTCTAGACTATGAACAATTTAATTTAGAAAATAGTCATGTAATAAGTTAGAGTTTTTACAATCATGATCTCATCGTATATCTTTAAGATACATCCGTATTATTTCAAGGGCCTTTATCTCTTTATCTCTTATTTTTTATTTTTTATTCTTCTATTTTTAGAATGAGAACTTCATCCGATTTCTATTATGTATTCAATAAATGAATGATGAAACTTACCTGCTAAAATGTACTTTGACTTCAGTGATTCAACGCACGT